GAGAGGCCTGCGTACCACAAAAAAAAAAAAAAAGAAAAAAAGAAAAAAATTTTTTTAAAAGTAAAAAAAAAACGGACGGATAGAACCCTTGGACAAATGGTGAAAGCAAAGCTATACAGACAAAATCTCACACAGAAGCGTACACATACACACTCACAAAAAGAGGAAAAGGGGACAAAAATAATAAAGCTTGCTCTCAAAGTCCACCTCCTCAATTTGGGATGATTCGTTGTCTATTCAGGCATTCCACAGATGCAGGGTATATGAAGTTGATTGTGGAGATTTAATCCGCTGCTCCTGAGGCTGCTGGGAGAGATTTCCCTTTCTCTTCTTTGTTCGCACAGCTCCCGGGTTTCAGCTTTGGACTTGGCCCCGCCTCTGCATGTAGGTTGCCGGAGGGCATCTGTTCTTCGCTCAGACAGGACGGGGTTAAAGGAGCCGCTGATTGGGGGCTCCGGCTCACTCAGGGCGGGCGGAGGGAGAGGCACGGAGTGCGGGGCGAGCCTGCGGCTGCGGAAGCCGTCGTGACGTTGCACTAGCCTGAGGTGCGCCGTGCGTGCTGCCGGAAAGGAGGTATGGAGAGTGACCTGTGCTCGCCCACAGGGTTCTTGGTGGCGGCAGCAGCAGCCTTAGCGTCCCATGCCCATCTCTGGGGTCCGCGCTGTTAGCCGCGGCTCGCGCCCGTCTCTGGAGCTCCTTTAAGCAGCGCTCTTAATCCCCTCTCCTCGCGCACCAGGAAACAAAGAGGGAAGAAAAAGTCTCTTGCCTCTTCGGCAGGTCCAGACTTTTCCCCGGACTCCCTCCCGGCTAGGCGTGGCGCACTAGCCCCCTGCAGGCCGTGCTCACTCCGCCAACCCCAGTCCTCTCCCTGCGCTCCGACCGAAGCCCGAGCCTCAGCTCCCAGCCCCCACCCGCCGTGGGGGGTGAGCAGACAAGCCTCTCGCGCAGGTGAGTGCCGGTCGGCCCTGATCCTCTGTGTGGGAATCTCTCCGCTTTGCCCTCCGCACCCCTGTTGCTGTGCTCTCCTCCGTGGCTCCGAAGCTCCCCCCGCCCTCCGCCACCCACAGTCTCCGCCGGCGAAGGGGCTTCCTAGTGTGTGGAAACTTTTCCTCCTTCACAGCTCCCTCCCACTGGTGCAGGTCCCGTCCCTATTCTTTTGTCTCTGTTTATTCTGTTTTCTTTTGCCCTACCCAGGTGCGTGGGGAGTTTCTTGCCTTTTGGGAGGTCTGGGGTCTTCTGCCAGCGTTCAGTAGGTGTTCTGTAGGAATTGTTCCACGTGTAGATGTATTTCAGATGTATCCGTGGCGAGGAAGGTGATCTCCGCGTCTTACTCGTCCGCCATCTTCCCCTTCCATTGGGGTTTAACTCTTTCTAATACATCAGTTCTGGAAAAATAAATTAGTTCAAATTGTTAAGCAAAATGTTAACGTGTGTTAAATGTGTGGATAGATGAGATTTGTTGGTTGTGACAATTGGTATATTTCTGTATGGTTTAAATATTTATCATATTAACAAATTTTAAAATGTACATTGGTGTCAGGTAAAGCTGTGTTCTTATCCCCTTCCTCACATTTACTAGGTAACTTGGGTAAAATTATTCATTTCTTTATGTTTCAGTTGCTTGATTTTTAAATGTATACACTATTACAGTATTCCCTACCTTTCTTAACAGTGTGAAGTGTATGGCCCAGTATTTGGAGAAAACATATGGTAACTGGTAGAAATAAAACAGCTTATTTCATGCAGCAGCATGAAACCAAAGAAAAGAGAATTTTTAAAAAGGGAAAGGAGGTATCATTTGTTTCACATGCAAGCTAAATGTTCAAATTACTGACATTGACCACTGGATTTGATGAGGTCACTGACGAGGCTTACCTGAGCAATATGGGGAGATTGGTGAGAGCAGCAGACTGTGGACATGGGTTGAAGAGGGGAAAGAACAGATAAGAAGAAGCTTGCAACATATTGTTTGAAACAAGAAGGCAAGGAAGAATCACCTATTTATTTATAGAAGCAAGAGAGAAAGCAGGAATTTTAAAAATGGGAAGCTGCAAATGTGAAGTATTTTAAGTAATTTGGTTGTGAAAGAAAATGGGTCAGTGACTAGGGATAGACAGAGGGTCTTGTGTGTGTGTGAAGGCAAGGATTTTGGTGTGTTAACAGACTGAAAGGAGAGGTCCAGGAGCAAGGGGGAAGATGATAATCTAGGAGCAGAGTGGAGCACTGATGGATCAAGGTCCTGCAAGAAAAAGCAGCGGTGCGAATTAAGGACACGCATGGTAGAGATGGCTTTAAGCAAGAGAGAATCACTTGTCTGAGATTAGAAGACCGTGAAGGGTCAAGTGCTGACAGTGATAGCGTTTACATGTGAGTGAAGGACAGTGAGGCAGTTTATGACTCTTACCCTCAACTTTGTCTGTGAAAGATTTGAGGCAGTGTCCTCCACTGAGAAAGAATGTGTACTTCCACTGTTGTTGTTTGTGTGCTTCTTCCCTATCAAGAATAAGGACTCAGGCATTGAAATACTCCAAAAAGGATGCTTTTTCCTCTGATGAGAAAATTGGATTCAGGCTCAAGTCTCCTTCTCTGAAGAAGGGTTTTTGTATGTGAACCATCATTGTTTGAGACTTCAAGTCGCCACGCTCATTTCAGAAAGTCATGAAAGGTTCACTAAGGGAACAGGAACCAAGATTGCACATTTTCTTGTCCTCTACAAAATCAGCTTTCCAAAAATAGACTCATACAAGCTGTAGTCACAGTGGAATGTCATGTTTCTATTATTGCGATGACATGAAATCATTAAACAACTGCTAGTAGTAAAAACAGTCATGTCTGGTAATAGAACTGCTCTGTGCCCATTCAAAGGGAATTGCATTTTAAATGACACATGCAGAGCAATGACGGGAGGGGCAGGGACTGAGACGTGACTTCCACAATAATTTATTACATGTCCTCCTTTGATCTTGCTGCGGCACTCATGTTCTTTGTTCTGAAAAGCGGTGTCATACTGACTGGAGTGCATGAACGCAGGTGGTAAGAAGGTTTCAAATTTTTTTGAGTCGTCTGCTAATTTTTTAATAATATTTCCTGTATTTAAGGAAAAAAATATTAAAAACATATTAGAAGTTCCTAATATCAAGATTCACCTCCTGCCTTCCTAATCTCAGAAGGTTTTTTTGGTCTAGACTTCTGTTTATATCACATATATCACACAAGCAGAATTATGACTACCTACTATATGTCAGGCATGTGATCTGTTAGTCCCCACATAATCCAGTGAGGTAGATATTATTACCATGGACAGATGAATGCACTGGCATCTCAAGATTGAACTCAATTTTCCACTATCAATTGGGATTCAAACTCCGGTCTGAATAAAAATATTTGAGATTTAAAAGAGACACTGAATCAAATGTCACTTTCGAGTTCTGAACCTATTGAAGAATGGACAAGGAAGCTTTGACTTCCTCAGATGTTCAGATATTAACTTTATTAGTAGTAAAGGTGTACTGAGAAACACACTTGGTACATGAAGCCAAAACAAACTTCCTATCATCCCCCTAAAACCGGCCCCTGACCCCTCCTATGGTGAGAGGTGTAGTTACAGAGCAGATTAATTGCATGTAGGAATAAAGCCTGTCTCTCACCTTCCAAGAGCAGGTAGTACAGGTGCTCTAATCCTATATAGTAGAGCCACTCCTCTTCTTGTGGGGAGAGAAATGGTCAGAGGTATAGGATTGGATTCTAACCAACACCTTCAAGAGAGCCAGAGGTTTATCAGTAGAGGAAATAAATCATTCCCCCGGACATGGCACATACTTTTCCCACAGCATCTTATTCTATTAACTGGATTAGTTTAGTACACATAGCAGTCTTATGATCTTCCATGTAATGAGCTTCTTAAAAGTAACAAGTGTATTGATCAAACCATGACAAAACACCAGGAAACACACACTAGGACTGATGAAAGAACATTATATTGGAGGCATTCACCATGGTAGAGGTCTATGCTCTCCAATTTCCCATTGTACTTTGGGGGCTGCATACAGGAATCTAGCATATCTAAGCATTGACTACCAGGAGGCTTTTAAGAAACTAACTAGCAAAATGATAGTTCCTTCCCTAGCATGATTAAGGGCCAGAATCCATCAACTACATGTATGGCATCGTCTTAGCGCCAAGTCTAGTCTTGTTCTGCTAAGTTTGACATCCATAGATAAGAGAACACAAACCTCTTCCTTGACAGGGTCAGTGTGCTAATGTGTAAGCCTTAGAGTCCCAGCTCTTTGCCATCCCTGAACATGGCTGAATCTGGTACATCAGCATTTTACCAGGCTTGATTGCTTGAGCATTTTGCTGTAGCTACCTTCCACACGATCTGCAGGAGACCAACTCCTTCTTTGGTAGACTGGCATGTAGGGAATAAGTTTTGGACAAGCCAATTCTTACTTCTCAATGTTGGCTTGATTTTTGTCTTCTTATCACACCATGGTGCTTAGTACTGTGTACTGCAATGTGTAACTGTTGCAAAAAAGGAAATAATGCATAAATGAATGAATGAATGAATGATTATGTAGGAAAAAAAAGTGTAGTTACTTGGGCTGTTTTTCCCTCACACCACTTCTCCATTCTTCTCCTGTCAAGAACTACAAACAGATGCCTAGGTACTAATTAGGAATGGAAGTATAACTCTCTTCTATATGATAAATCTCCTTCTTTGATCTGAAACTCAGAATCACTTCATTGTCAAATAATCCTTATCACATCAACAGTGGAGTCGCAGATAAAATAAGGGTTCTCTAAGTCTCTTAATGAAAGCTCTCAAGTTTATCTTTTAGTTCCTTTTGAGATGTGATTAAGAAAAACCTCCCTTGTTTATATTTAAAAATCCCCTGGAATTAAATTGTAAATTCTAATAATAGCTAGCACTTTTGAATGTTCGATACGTGTGGGTGCTGTAATAAACACTTGACATAGATTATCTCATTTAATCCTCACAGAAACCAAATGAAGTATTTACTGTCATTATCCCTATTTGATGAAGAGGATACTGAGGCTCACAGAGAATTAACTTGTCCAAGATCATCTGATGTCGAGTAATCAAGAGTGAATGACCTGAAAGCACACACACCAGCTGGGACCAGCCTTTGATTGAGGGGAAAACGTACAGAGACAGAGCGATAGCAGGTGAGCAAGCTTCTCAATGCCAGGTGCACAGGGAACTGGTGAGTAAGACATCAGACTTGAGAGGGGTCCCAGTCTTGAGGTGTGGGGCTCCTAAGCTTCATTGTTGGGGAAACACCAGCTCTTCCTCTAGGATGGTTTGGGGCTGAGGTCCAAACTTTGTGGTTACAGTTCTGTGATGTAGCAGATTCCTGACAGGGCTTCCAGCCCTGTCAACCTCAGCATTTATAACTGAGAGTTTCTCTTTTGGTGGGATCAGGGTCCAGGACCCAAGCCCTTTGTTTAGATTATTGACCTTCAGCTGTGTTCTATCTTATCAGCATTCTATCAGGATGCCTGCCTTAAGTACTCAGTTTTAACCAGTTTCCATATCTTTTGGGTTTTAATTTCCAAATGATGCTGCTCTTTGAAGGAAGGGGGGATGGCACCTGTCTCTCTGGGAATATGGCCTGCTAGGTATCCAGGTCAATCAAATGAATCCTTGCCTATCACTGAGCTATTATGTGGTGGAACCTTTATTCAAGTACTACAGTCTGATGCCAGGGTCTTCCTAGTCTTAAATGATTTGCAATAAGAACTTGATATACTATCCATATGTTCATTTCAGGTAGTATCATAGTCTACAGTATATACTTTTCCTGTCATATATTATTTTTCTCATGTTCCTAGTTGGCCATTTTAAATACTTACATGTTATTCACCTATTTCTAACCCTTATAACTCACCATTCTGGTACTGTATGCTCTGTTAGTGTGGGAGATTTAATTTGGCTGTGAACCATCTAAAGAAGATATGTTGTTGACTATGGAATCGATAGGCTTATATACTGGGGTGCTGTTTGGGGATGGATGATAGGGAGATCCTAAGAGGTGGGGTTTCTTAGAAGAAAGGATAAATCCAAATTCAGAGTTTGTGACTTCTGTGCTATATATGGGTATCTTTAGAAGATTTTAAACTAGAACTAATCATATTAAGAACTTGTCTCTGTGTCAGTTGGGTTATGTGGTTACAGAGTTATTTGTTATCTTGAATTCTTTTTGTTTATGTCACAGTGTCTAATTTCAGTCTTTCCATTCATTCTCACTTTAACTTTATAAATTTATAAACTTTATAAACATAGACTGTATTGACCTAAGAGAAAACATCAGTAATGTAGCAGTGATAACATCTTTACCACCAAGTAGAAGGTTCATGAAGTCAGAGGTGTAATCTGTTTTGTTGATTGCCGTGTATACCTGGTGCATAGATACTAAAGCAAATGGTTGCTCAATGAACATTTATTGTTTTAACAAGGAAAATAATGCATTAATCTTTTGCTATGAAAATTAATTATTAAACCAGTTAAATTGTCTTGGGATTTCAAGGTATATTTTTAGTTGTGTTTACTTATTAAATTAGAGGTGAAAGGCAGGATTTTCATGCTAAGAATTCTTTAGCAGGATGAGATGGGAAATGCGATCACTGTTGCTTATTTTACCACATGCAAGTCTTTGGTTTTCACTGGTGAAGGGCCAATATTTCCAAAACGAATTTTTTAAAAAATCTTGTGATTGTAAGTACTTTCAGGCGTGTAGAAGTATGTGTGTGTGTGTATGGGGAGGGCAGATAATGATTTGAAAAATATACTCATTTCTGGTGATCATCCTTGGTTTTGGATATATAGCTTCCCTCTCTCTAAAGAGAAAAAGAATGTTCATTTGGAAGGGACCAGAGAAATCCCTGCTTGCACATCTCTCCCCTGTAGATAGTTATCCCATATTATGTAAGATGCTGAGGCCTTATTTCCTAGTTTCATGTCCTTGCACAAGTTGCTTCATCTTCCTGTGCCTTCTTTCCCCATTGACAAAAAGGGAATAATAATAATACTGATGTCATAATTTGGTTGTGAAGAATCAGTGAGTTACTACATATAAAGTATATAGAGCAGTGCCTGGTGCAAAGTAAGCACACAATAAACATTATCATTACTGTTAGTTTCATATGCTAATGCATAAAACATTGCTTTATCCAAGCAACTTAACACAAGTCAGGAATGGATGATCTCTGGTTTTGGCACCCATGTTCCATAATCCTATAGAGAGCCTTCAAGACTCCCTAGTTGTCTCTTTATGAAAATACAGGTCAAATCAAACCAAAACACATATGAGAGACCACATAATGCCTGTTATGTCTGAATGAAATTGGGTGTCCTGGGACCCCTCCAATCCTCTTTGACATGTCCTCAAACTCTGAGAACGGCCTGGCTTCCTTTGCAGTGCTTTTTAAAACTGGGACTAGCCCAAGACTGACAATGGTGATAGATGAGGAACATTCTAGGTTGGTACCTCTGAAACCTCAAGTCACCAACTCTACGTGCAATCCCAATTCAGAAGAGTTTGGAAGGAGCAAAATGAGGTGAACACCTGATTTTTTTCCCCGTCAACATTTCCAGCCTAATATTGTAGGCAGAAGACTAAGACATGGCTTGTGATGGTCCTGCTAGGCAACAATACCATGGCAATGAATAGAAGCTCCTTCAGGCAATGAAATATGTAGCTTTTAAAAATGAAAAAAGGGGGCTTCCCTGGTGGCGCAGTGGTTGGGAATCCGCCTGCCCATGCAGGGGACACGGGTTTGTGCCCCGGTCCGGGAAGATCCCACATGCCGCGGGGTGGCTGGGCCTGTGAGCCATGGCCGCTGAGCCTGCGCGTCTGGAGCCTGTGCTCCGCAACGGGAGAGGCCACAACAGTGAGAGGCCCGCGTACCGCAAAAAAAAAAAAAAAAAAAAAAAGAAAAAAGGAATATGACTACACCTTTACATCAAAACACACATACACGGCCAGCTGGATTTCAAGAATGTGTGAAGATTTCTTGAGTATTATTTGAAGGTAGTCTTCTGATTTAGCTTTCTGTAAACTGGCTTTGGTGCCCTTCTTTCTCTTTCCCTGGCCCTTATGCATATGACACTCTTCCCAATGACCCACTCTCTGACTTTCTTTAGATAACTTGAAAATATTGACTGTACAGACACCAAAGGTGAAAGGGATCTTCATCCCCACTGAACTCCAAAGAGCAATTCTCTTTTCTCACTCCCAGAGGAATGTTTGTAATCTTGTTAGAAGTATTTCTGCTGTACTATAATGTCTACAGAAAAGAATAATGATCAAAGTTTCTCATTAACTACATTTTAATGGGCTTCATTAAAAAGTCAGCTTACCCCAGTCTCAAAGTGAAAATTAAAAAAAATTCACTTAATAAATGAAATACACATGTAAAAGTTAAGATGTTTTTAGTCAAAATAATATGATGAAAACAATGTAGACTCCATCACTGTATTTCAGAGTTTTTAGATCCAGGGATTTTTTTTAATAAAAAGTGAAAGGCCCCTATCCTTACAAAATAGACATATACACAAAATAAATCTATAAAAATTTTAAAGATAAATCCAAGAGATGTATTTGATGAAGCCTATTCAGATATATCATATAGAAATGTATAGATCTCAGATTAAAACCCCTGCATTGACTCAGGTTATTGCCAGACCCTTGCAGTCAGTGCATGACGAGACCCTACCATGCAGTGAATGGGTTACAGGTGTGCCAAGACCATAGTCCCTTTCTATCTTCAAGGCAGAGACATAGGGTCAAGGGTAGCTAAAACCTCAGGGTCTTTTTCCTCTCATTGTGAGCAAGCATGACAATTTCCCCCATTAAACTCTAGAAGTCTTATTTTCTACCTGATTTTTAACATGAAATGGGTTGGACATAGTGCTAAAGAATTAATTGTTCATTCTTTCAGTGAAAGTTTTTTGAATACCTCTTATTAATTATGAACAAGTGTGTTAGATATGGGTGGAGTAATAAAGGTGACTAGGTTGATTCTCTAACCTTGAGGCAATCATAGCTACAAGGGGAGATAACCAAATAATGAAGTAAACTACCTATAGGCCATATGTGAAGACCTGTTGGAGCACAGAGGAGAGTCAGCCTAATTTTATTTGGAATGAAAAGCAGGGTGAGGACGCTGAACTTTGCATTAGGTGGAGTTCACCAAAATGAGTGTATGACGCAGTATCATTTTGCCAATAAATAATTTTCTGTTACAACATTTTTAATGGTTGCATACTATGTCACAGTGTGGATATAACACACATAATTTAATTGAGCCCTTATTTTTTTGTCATTGGGTTAGTTCCATTTTTTGGCAACTATGAACAACATTGAGATAAAGATTTGTATGCTGAAATCATAGTGCATGGCCTGTGATTCTCTTAGAATACAGCCCTAGATGTGAAATTACTGGCTCAAAGGACCAGCAGTTTTTTAAAGCTTAAGTAAATTTTCTCAAGCTAACATTATAAAAGAGTAGGGCTTTGGGGCCAAACCTGAGTTCAAAATATAAACATTCCTTTTGTTGGTTATTGACCTTGGGCAAGTTGCCTAAGGTTTATTACCTTTAGTTTCTGCCTTTAATAAATGAGGATCATAATACTTACCTTAAAGAGCTGCTTTAAAAACTGTAGTGGAGGGCTTCCCAGGTGGCGCAGTGGTTGAGAGTCCGCCTTCCGATGCAGGGGACATATGGGTTCGTGCCCCGGTCTGGGAGGATCCTACATGCCTCGGAGTAGCTGGGCCCGTGGGCCGTGGCCGCTGAGCCTGAGCGTCCGGAGCCTGTGCTCTGCAACGGGAGAGGCCACAACAGTGAGAGGCCCGCGTACTGGGAAAAAAAAACAAAAAACAACTGTAGTGGAGTGTAATAAATACTTATCGAATCTCCCTTTTATTTTTGACAATAGGTACCAGTTAGTTGCTAAATCCTAGCAATAAAATTCAAATGTTCTAAATATTTTAGGTTAGCAACATTAATTTCTAACAGGAAATGTGCACTATCTAAATAACTGTGTGGTATAGTTGCACTCAATTCATTATATGGCCCGCATTTCGAAAATTCTGACTCCTTGTCCATATAAATAACTTTAAAATTGCTAGACTCTGGTCTGAAATTTGCTCCTAAAATATAGGAAA